AATTAGACAAAATTCTTCAAATATCCTAAATCTGCTTTAAATTAGATATAGTGGTGGCTAGATGTGCTCTTGCCAAAACTTCAAGCACTAAAACTGCACAAGTGCTAAATATTAGAGACTAAATTTTCTGTAGTTAAAACTCTAAAAACTAAAATCTCACGTGTTAAACGTGCTAATTAACTCAAGAGATTACCATTGAATATTGCAATAACAAAGATTAAGTTCAACATGGAACATGGAGCTATTTCTCAAGTTGAAGAAGATGCTTGGTATGGTGCAATTAAAAATATTGGTTTAAAGGGGCAATGTAGGATATTTAAACTAAGTCATTTTATTATTTAGTTTGTTTTGTAGGATGCTTGCCTTTGTAGCAATTACCAACATGGGAATAAGTTTCCCTGTCCCAAAAATGTCCCTGGGTTAAGCTCGATTACTTGGATTCTTTTTCTATCAAACTGGCACTTGTTATCATATTTTCGTTCTACTCCCTGAAATAAATACAAAATACTAAAAGTGAGTAGAATCTAGCAATTAATTCACATCGGGTCATGTAATAGAGGAAGTTAATTATAAAATAAATGATAAAATTGCAACCTATCATAGTTAAAGTTTTTCAAAAACTCGTAGCAGATAAACTTAGCAAAAAATTTGTCTGCCAAACAAGGCCATTGGTTTAAAGGGGCAATGTAGGATATTTAAACTAAGTCATTTTATTATTTAGTTTGTTTTGTTTAGGAAACTAGTAAATAAGTCCATATATGATTTGTTAGTTACTTTACAGTCCAATTACTATATAAAAACCTTATATCGATATTTCTCGTATCAGAGAATTATCAAGAAGTTTCATATCAATAAAGTGGCCACCTAGCTTTGTGTCATTTACCATTTATCATTTGTGGCCTCGGCTTTTATTTCGTCTTTTTTTCTGCAGTCGTTCTATTACACAAATAAAAGAAAGCTTTTATTTCGTTATTATTTTGCTTGTAAATTGATTCGAGAGCTTTGTTATAATTATAAACATTTTGATGTCCTACAAACGTTTAAACATTTAAACCAAAAAAAAAAATGCTCCAGCAAAGAAAAAAAATCAGGTATTCAATTCAATGAGGAAAACGAAAACCTGGCAAAAACAATGCTACTTTGGCCAACCGTCCTATATTAGAACAGAACCATTCTAAATCTTGCGGCCGGCAGCATATTGGATGACAAAATAATTCCATTTAAACCACATAATTAAAGAGCTATGGATAGAAATCCAATCAATGTCTACATAAGTAAAGTATTATTATCGACTATAATACGGCTGAGACATACCTTGATCAACAAATTGTAGCTGATACTAATATTTGCTACCTGTCAAACCTGCAACTAAAATGGGAAGCACTTCTTCAATTTTACAATTCTACATGGACAACCCAATTCAAACAGTGAAACACCATAACACATATAATTTTAAAAAAATACCTATTCAAGAAAATTGCTGAAAAATGGAAAAGAGGAGTAGCTAAACCAGCAAAATCTCACTCTAATATGCTGTGTAATTTATAGTCCAGAAACTATAAGCAAATGAGAAGAATTCAAGCAGCCGGAGTTATGGTAACAGCATAGAAACCAAACTGCTTCACTAATTCCCGTTCTGTCATACTTTTAGCAAATCATTGATTAAGTTTGTAATAAAATCAGCTTCTACATACAAATGCACAATGGCATAGACTCACTTTAAGATTAAACAAGTAATTATAAAAATCTACTAAAAGGCAGATAAAGCTATTTAGCACTAATTGCCAAGCATTGAACTGTTAGACATTCTGCTCAATCGATTTAGGAAACCAAACCTTGAATCACTAAATTAACCCTCCGTGAGGAGATGAAATTTGTCACCATTTATCCCCAAAAACTGCTTTTAATCTATGCTTAGGCTTTTAAGCTGTAATAAGAGTCGATTGTTTCCATTTCCTTCTTTTCTTCCCTAAACTAGCTCTCCAAATGTTTATTTCCCTTTCTATTTTTCATTTATTATCATTTTTGAAATCACAACCTAGGACTGGAATTTAGGTTAAATGAAAAAAATAAATTTTAAGAGAGTTCATAAAAGTCTATTACCATTTCTTCTACTGTTTAAGTTTCAAGAGAATTATAGATTTTTATATATTCCTCTGTGTCTAGTAATACTTGCAATATAGCAAAAAATATTTGCTTAGATAATAAGTTTTCTGTCCAAAATTTTCCGGTCAAATAAATGTTTATCGAATTCATCTTCTCGCACTTTACTATCCAACAAGGCCATTATTCTCTTTATCCAAACAAAACACAAGTGGCTACTTACCCAAAAAAAAAAATGCAAGTGGTTGTCAATTTTTATGTTTGCTTTCTATCTAGATTGAGCTTTATATCTTGAGTTTACACAGCAGGACGGGACATAGGAGAACTAGAATTTGATTCCAAAATGATTGTCTGTTTCCTAAGTGATTGTCTATTTCAGGAATAGCTTGCTTTTTGTCTTATCTAATTAGCATATCTTCCAAGCTCTTATTTCCTGGATAACGTCCTAAAATTTTCAAGTTCCTCAACAACAATAGCGTGGTGCACCAGAATTTTGCACTTGAAAATTAATCAAACAGCAGGGATGAGGATACTTAGATATCTATCCCTTTTGTAGCCAAATGTTATCGTCTCTTGAATTTCCAAGGTTGATTTCTTTTTGTCCTAAGGCTTATGATAGAGCGTTTATTTGGCACATTTTACACTGTTATTTTGTCCTAATTTTGGCTATTCACGATGCTAAGAATTGGAATTTCACTCATATTTCATATTTGTATGAATTATAAGTGGTCGGCATTAAAAATGATCTCTGGAGGCAAATTTCCAGAAGACCCTTCGTCTCAGAGCGTGGCCACGCCAGAAAAGGTAGATGTTACCGAAAGTCGGACCCCGATCCACGTGAACCCGAAGCGTGGGATCAGAACTCTTGAGACAAAGCTTTGCTCCAGGCTTTTGTTCAAGATGTCTCTTTTACCTTTTTTTTGGGGCGGCGGCTATAAAAGGAAGAAGAGGCCAGATTCGTGGCGGATGAAATTTTTAGCTTTCGTCTTATTTCTTTCTCTTTGTCTGTCAGACGCTTTTTCTTTTCTTTTGTTCTCCGTCGGCCGCAGATAGATTAGCTTTGATTTTCTTTTCGAAAGGGGTCAGGCGATTGCAGACTTTTGTAGCTTTTCAGTTGTGACACTTTGACTCCTTAGTTTTTGTTTTGACTCTGCACAATTTACGTTAGCTTTTGTTCGTACACTTGCGGCTCCAAAGCAAAGACGAAGGTAGGGCCTTCTCTGTTGTTACTGCAATTAATTCCCCTTCCCCAGTTCTTCGGCGAATAATTGAATGAATTCAATTAAATCACGCGGGATTGACACGATGAGGAGCGGCTAATTTTCTCCTCTACCCAAAGGTTGACGCGAAAGCGCGGTTCATAATATCCGTGAGATCTAATCGAATCTTCATTATTTCTTTCAATTTATTGCTATTCGTGCGTTTCCTGAATTAATTGTTCATGGGTATTTTATTAATTGAATATCAACGGTCGGATATTTGATTTAATTTAATAGCCTACTGCGACGTTAATTAAATAGAATCCGTAATTGTTCATTTAGTTAACACCTCGTGGCAACCACCATAATTGGTTTTATGATGGGGAAATGCAAGATCTGGTTTAAATAAACACTCTTAGCGTGTTTATTGGTTAGGATTGGGTTCTTCTAGTTTTAATGCAATTGGGTAATTAAATTCCTACGGTCGTACCTAGGGTTGTTATTTGGTTAGAGAAGCAGTCAATGGTCGTACCTTGACTGTCGAAAAAGTAAGGAAGAATTGGTTGTCAGAACTTGTTGATAGCTATAACCAATCTAGTTATGAATGGATGAAATACCTTTGCATCGATGAGCATTTAATTGGACCGTGCTTGAGTAGTTGATCCTTTGGGTGGAATATTATTAATTGCTATTTTTAGTGAATTATGCTTTGTGAGTTAGTTTTGAATTTTGTTTGTTTTATTTCATTTTTATTTGCCTCCCATTGAAAATCCCCCATTTTCGTTTTACTAATTTGGAAAGAAATAGTTTCCTACCCGCTCCCTGTGGAATCGACCCTACTTGCCATTGTACACAAAATTAATATTTTTATAGACTAATCTGGTATATCGGATCAAACAAACTCTTCGGGAGTAGGGTGAATCAAGTAACCCATTGCACACCTAGGTCCCTACTCCAGTACTTGGATTTGTTTTATAATTAATTGTGGTGGTAATTAGGACTTTTTACTAATTATTATTGCACAGGTTCGGCACCTGTCAATTTTTGGCGCCGTTGCGGGGGAGCGGTGTTTTGGTTAATTTTGTTTCTTTCCAGGTTGTTTTACTTGGATTTGTCTGACATTTTTCTAGTTTATGCCTCGTTCTTCTCGCACAGGTGACTTGATTTTCGACCTAGAGGTAGAGAAGATTGCGCGCCGAACTAGAAAAGAGACTAGACAACTCAGAGAGGAGCGGTCTAGCATAGCTTCTCAGGAGCTAGATTCAGAGATCGAATCATCAGATTCAAGTGGTGATAGTCTAAGTGATCAAGGCCAAGAGGACATCCTTATGGCAAATGCAAGGACACTGAGGGAGTTGGCTGCCCAGAATTGCCCCAGCAGCCCTTGTGCATCACATTTCCAACATTGGCAGAGAATACCTCCTTCGAATTGAAGTCAGGGCTAATTCACCTTTTACCCACGTTCCATGGCCTCTCAGGTGAGGAGCTCCATAAACACATCCAGGAGTTTGATGTGGTATGCTCCAGTATGAAGCCTCCAGACATTACTGAGGAACATATTAAACTCAGGGCTTTCCCATTCTCCCTGAAAGATGCGGCGAAAGATTGGTTATACTACCTGCCTGCAGGTAGTATTACCACATGAGCCCAACTTAAGAAGAAATTTCTGGAGAAATTTTCCCTGCATCTCGGGCGGCTAGCCTGAGAAAGGAGATTTGCAACATTAAGCAGTACCCTGGAGAATTCCTATATGACTATTGGGAGAGGTTCAATAAATTGTGTACTAGATGCCTACAATATCAAATTAGTGAACAATTATTGATCCAATACTTCTATAAGGGACTCCAACCGTCAGACAGGAGTATCATAGATGCTGCGAGCGGGGGAGCACTGGCAAATAAAACCCCGAGAGAAGCATGGCTGCTCATTGAGTCGATGGCAGAGAATTCTCAACAGTTTGACTTCCGTGAGAGTAACCCTACTCGTAGGGTCAACGAGGTGGAGACGTCGTCCATTCAGCAGCAGATATCGGAGCTGACATCTTTCGTTCGACAATTAGCTGTGGGAAACATGCATCAAGCAAAGGCTTGTGGAATTTACACAAATGTGGGCCATCCCACTGACTCGTGCCCTTTGTTGCAGGAGGATGGGGCTGAACAAGTGAACATGGGCGGAGGCGTGCCCGCGCCTCGAAAATCGTACGACCCATACTCCAACACGTACAATCCTGATTGGCGAGACCACCCCAATTTCAGTTATGGTAACAAGCCACAGAATTTATTTTCTAATCGTCCACCAGGATTTCAGCAACCTTGGCAGCAGAAGTCTCAACCCTCGTCCTCAAGCTCAGGGAGTTCTTTGGAGGAAATTGTTAAGAGTTTGGCCACAACTACTGCTCAAATCCAGCAAGAGACTAGGTCCTTGGTCGTAAGCACTACTCAGTTCCAACATGACACCAAAGCAGGTATGAAGGACATGGAAACTCGCATGAGTCAAATGGCAACTGCCATTAATCGCCTGAAGTCCCACGTTTATGGAAAATTGCCATCACAACCTGAGGCAAATCCCAAAAATGTAAGTGCAATGACATTAAGGAGTGGCAAGGAAGTGGAGGGGCCAAAGGTCACGAACTTGAAGAGTAAAAGTGAAAACGAGATAGAGAAGGAGATAGAGGAAGAAGGACACATTCGTGGAGGTCCTGAGGTAACTCTTACACCATCATTACCCGTTAAATCTAATTTATCCCCTTTTTCTTGCAGGTTGGAAAAGACAAAGAGGGCAGAAAAGGAAAAAGAAATCCTGGATGTCTTCCGCAAAATTCAAGTAAACATCCTCCTATTGGATGCGATCAAGCAGGTACCCAAGTACACAAAGTTCTTGAAAGACTTGTGCGTTGACAAAAGAAAGCTAAGGGGTGATGAAAGAGTGATGGTAGGAGAGATTGTACTAACTGTACTTCAAAGGAAACTCCCACCCAAATGCGGAGATCCAGGTATGTTTACTATCCCCTGTAAGATTGGCCATTCTAGTATCAAAAATGCCATGATAGATTTAGGGGCTTCTATTAATGTGATGTCTAAGTCAATCTATGATTTTCTAAATTTAGGACCTTTAAAAGAAACGGGAATAATAATTTAATTGGCTGATCGTATATGTGCTTATCCGGATGGAATAGTTGAGGATATTTTAGTGCAAGTAGATGGATTAATTTTTTCTGCTGATTTTTATGTGCTTTACATGGATGATAGAAGTGCCCCAAATCCATCACCCATTATATTAGGAAGACCATTTTTGAGTACTGCCCAGACTAAAATTGATGTTAGTAAGGGTACTTTCACGATGAAATTTGATGGAGAAATAGCCCACTTTAATATTTTTGACACAATGAAACATCCTGTTAACTCTCATTCTGTGTTTGCTATGTATACCACTAATTGATCTGTGCAAAAATTTTCTAAATTTGCTTATAGGGATAAATTCAAGGTTGCTGCGAACAAGTCCTATAGGATGAATGCAATTCATGAGCTAAAAATGGAGAGAAAATTTAGAAAAAATGTTGCACTCAATGGCCACGTGGATCCCGGAGGAGGGCCACCAATTACAAGAAAAATTCAATTACATCCAGACTAAAGAGTGGTGTTATGTCTAGCCAAAGACATTAAAAAAAGGCGCTGCTTGGGAGGCACCCCAAGGATTCTTTTGTTTTAGTTTTCTTATATTTTTGAATCTTTTGTTAAGTGTTAGTGTCATTTAATGGGTTGTTATTTTGTGACAGGAAGTTGGCAGTTAGACATGCCCACGCTAGGTCGTCACACCTAAGGAATGGAGTTTTGGAATTGATGCTTCAGTCTTCTCCTTCCTGTTGGTGTTGCGTCCATTGCCGCCACTCCACCTTGCGTCCGCCGCCACCACACCACCTTGTGCACATAGCCGTCTCACCCCCCTCCGCCTTAGTATCTCGTTTTCCCTCCCCGGTGGTCAGGGAAGTTTCTCTTCTTTTCTCCTAATACTTTATTTGTCTATTCTACATTGAGAACAATGTAGGTCTTAGGTGTGGGGGAGTGGCTTCCATTAGTTCTTTTTGCTTTGTTACTCCAAAAAAAAAAAAAAAGAGAGAGAGAAAAAAAAAGGGAGAAATGATGAAAACATTGTAGTTAGTCGGCTTTTTATTTATTTCTATACTTGTTAGTGTTGGGGCATGTTGCTGTGATGAATGACACAATCAAAGTGAGTGGGTATGTGGTCAAATATGCTAGCTGTGCATTTTGTTTCCCTTGGCAATGTCGTTGAATGTTGAATATGCTGGAATTGACCCATTCTTGTAACTTTTGGGGAGCTTTTGAGCCTTGCTTGAGCATATTATTCTTGTTTGCTCTATTTTTGTTTGATTGAGTGGGTATTGCACATGGTATGAACATTCTAGAACTTGCTATTTTGTACACGTCAAGACCACATTCTGTTGAACTGGATGCATTTGAAATGATAAGGGCATTTAGGATTTGACCTCTTTGAGCTTTCGAAAGAAAATCATGCATTCACCTTGTTTCCCAATAGTGAACCAATTTGAGCTTTTATCATTCGCTTTGGTTGTTATCCGTGTTTGTTAACCGGAGACCTTTTTAAACTTTCTTGTTTAACCCTGTGTTGTCAAGGGATGTCTGAATTCCATCATTTGTGCAAAGCAAACAAATCTGAGGGTGCAAGGGTTGTTAGAATAGGATCTGTATAATAGTACCTTTGTGAAAAGGGGAGAAATTGACAAAAAGCCATTGATCAGAAGACTCTGTCTTACAGGACGTGCCCACGCCTTGCAAGACATTCTCCCTCAATTAAAAAAAAAACGAAGGGAGTGATCGGGCGACTTTGGCTTGCAGAGCGTACCCACACCTTGCAAGATATGCTTCCTTGCTAAAAAAAAAGAAAAAAAATGGCACTTGCACAGTGTGTACAACAAATGAAAACTGCCTTGTTTGTGAAACTCCTCCGGTAAAGCACCGTGGTTATATGGTGAGTTTCGGACATTTTCTTGATACTTGACCCCCTATTTGTACCTTGTTATCCCACATTTCACCTGGACTCCATTACAACCCTATCAAAGTCCCTTTGATTTATGTATTTAGTTCACTTTTGAGTGGTGGAGATGTGATAAATGTGCAAGCATATGGTAATAGGATTCCGTGATGTTGATTTGAGCGTTCCCAGAATTCATATATTTGCTTTGAGTTACAACTTGTCCGGTGTGTTCTAATTTTGGTGATATTGTCAGGGATCTGAAATGCTTGTGTTAGTATAGACTACTGCATGACCTCTGCTCTCTTGGTTGTACTCCTGAGCTCCGAAATGCTTGAGGGCAAGCATTGTCTAGGTGTGGGGGGATTTGATAGAGCGTTTATTTGGCACATTTTGCACTGTTATTTTGTCCTAATTTTGGCTATTCACGGTGCTAAGAATTGGAATTTCACTCATATTTCATATTTGTATGAATTATAGGTGGTCGGCATTAAAAATGATCTTTGGAGGCAAATTTTCAGAAGACCCTTCGTCTCAGAGCGTGGCCACGCCAGAAAAGGTAGACGTTACCGAAAGCCAGACCCCGGTCCACGTGAACCCGAAGCGTGGGATCAGAACTCTTTAGACAAAGCTTTGCTCCAGACTTTTGTTCAAGACGTCTCTTTTACCTTTTTTTTGGGGGCGGCGGCTATAAAAGGAAGAAGAGGCCAGATTCGTGGCGGATGAAATTTTTAGCTTTCGTCTTATTTCTTTCTTTTTGTCTGTCAGACGCTTTTTCTTTTCTTTTGTTCTCCGTCGGCCGCAGATAGATTAGCTTTGATTTTCTTTTCGAAAGGGGTCAGGCGATTGCAGACTTTTGTAGCTTTTCGATTGTGACACTTTGACTCCTTGGCTTTTGTTTTGATTCTGCACAATTTACGTTAGCTTTTGTTCGTATACTTGCGGCTCCAAAGCAAAGACGAAGGCAGGGCCTTCTCTGTTGTTACTGCAATTAATTCCCCTTCCCCAATTCTTCGGCAAATAATTGAATGAATTCAATTAAATCACGCGGGATTGACACGATGAGGAGTGGCTAATTTTCTCCTCTACCCAAAGGTTGACGCGAAGGCGCGGTCCATAATATCCGTGAGATCTAATCGAATCTTCATTATTTCTTTCAATTTATTGCTATTCGTGCGTTTCCTGAATTAATTGTTCATGGCTATTTTATTAATTGAATATCAACGGTCGGCTATTTGATTTAATTTAATAGCCTACTGCCACGTTAATTAAATAGAATCCGTAATTGTTCATTTAATTAACACCTCGTGGCAACCACCATAATTGGTTTTATGATGGGAAAATGCAAGATCTGATTTAAATAAACCCTCTTAGCGTGTTTATTGGTTAGGATTGGGTTCTTCTAATTTTAATGCAATTGGGTAATTAAATTCCTACGATCGTACCTAGAGTTGTTATTTGGTTAGAGAAGCAGTCAATGGTCGTACCTTGACTGTCGAAAAAGTAAGGAAGAACTGGTTGTCAGAGCTTGTTGATAGCTATAACCAATCTAGTAATGAATGGATGAAATACCTTTGCATCGATGAGCATTTAATTGGATCGTGCCTGAGTAGTTGATCCTTTGGGTGGAATATTATTAATTGTTATTTTTAGTGAATTGTGCTTTGTGAGTTAGTTTTGAATTTTGTTTGTTTTATTTCATTTTTATTTTAGTTTTGAATTTTGTTTGTTTTATTTCATTTTTATTTGCCTCCCATTGAAAATCCCCCATTTTCGTTCTACTAATTTGGAAAGA